CAAATATGCACTTTGCTTCATACTAGTACAACATTTAAAGAGGCTTTTGATAAAACGTTTGGCTCCAAACAGGGTATTCCTCGAGTAAACGCAACAAGATGGAATTCCACATTCCGTTACATAAAAAGCGTTGTCAATTTAGATGAAAAGAAATTAAAAAACCTGCTTGATGAATTAAGTCACCGCAATCTAATACTAAATGAAAAAGAATACGTGCAACTTAGAGAGCTCATTGATTTATTGCAACCATTTCTTGAAATGGTTGCAATAATGACTCAATGTGAAATGACTCAAGGTGAAAATGACTCATGAATTGACTCGAAACTCGAAATGACTCAAGGTGAAAAAAATATAACAATTTCATTAGTTTATCTCTATCGTTGGGCTATATAGTCACTTAGAACAATTTAATATAACTTATCTGTCTGTTATGAAACAGGTATTGCGAAACAGTCTTAAAAAAAGATTTTCTGGTATATTTGCAAATGTTGACCTTATCCCATCAATTGATAAGAAACTACCTTTTTATGACTTGATATATATCATTGCCACAGTTTTGGATCCCAATGTTTCTTTTTTTTGGACTGAGAAGCAAAAGAAGAATGTCATGTCAATCCAGGTCAAATAGACAACTTAAAGACAAATATTATTTCAAAAAATCGTCAATTCTGCAACAAGCAGTTTAGCCATACCAATGTAGCCATAGACGAAAAAGTCTTAACAGAAAACCCAACCTCTAAGAAACCAAGAACTAATTCATTTTTGTACTCTTATTGTAGATCTACACCTGTCATTCAGATTAGAACTACATCACAACCACCTGTTAAAAGTTTTGATACTCAGTTTTATTGCTTTAAGGAAGTGGTAAATGAAGTGTTTGCATCTAATTTCAATACCCTAGACATAGATTGTTTCCAATTTTGGAAAATGCATGGGCAAAAATTACCAATTCTCCAAAGTGCTGCCATGTATAATTTTGCGGTACCTGCAAGCAGTGCTCCTGTTAATAGGGTATTCAGTCAGGGTGGCCTGATTATGAACCCTAAGCGTGCAAGTTTAAATTCTGACACTGTTTATCAGTTAGTGTTTTTAAAATGTAACACGGATATATTACTATAACTTTTTATGAAAATCAGCATTTTTAATGTTAAAAAAAAGTTTTAATTTTTTTTCGAAAGAATGATAGAATAAAAACATTAGTAAATTGGCTATATAGCTTATGAAGTGTTATGTCACTGTATTGTGTATTATGACTCCTTAGCTATTTTATTACAGATGGTTTATTTTACTTTTAAAGCTACTTTCGTAAATAAAATAAAATTATAACTATTATTAAGCTGTATTTTATAATTGTAAGGTGACTGTTTGAATGTAGCTAGCAGAGCCATTGCAAGGATCCCCCATGCCCCTCTTGTAAGAGAAATTTCGTGGTTTTTATGACAGGTTTTGGAAGGGGCCTCCGAACTCCTAGCCGCGTCACTGATAACCACCACATGCACGGTAATCTTTTATTGTAATATGAGTTGACTTGAGACTTGACTTGACATGTCACTATATGACTTGAGACTTGACTTGAGACTTGACCTCAGTGACTTGAGACTTGACTTGAGACTTGCTCCAAAACGACTTGAAAACAGCTCTGGTGCACCATTATCCATATAAGGAAACCGATATATTTCAGATCAAAGTCCTTATATTTTCTGAAAGATTACATAGAATAATAACATAGAATAATGTGTACAATTTTTTTTTTATATGATCAAGGTCACATGGCTTTCCTTAGCATCAAAATCAGGTATATAAAAAATTGCCTAAATTTATTTAAATTGATAATTACAAGTACTTAAAAATATTTTTTTACACTTCTGATTATTTCATTAGATTCTTTAACCCTGGAAATAGCCAGGTACAAATTTAAAGTTAAAAGATCAAATATTTTTAAAGCTATGTGACTTGGAACCTTTAAACATAGGTCACACTTCTAAGGGGACAAAAGGGGCCTGACTACGATCAATTAAAAGTAAAATGGTTATATTTCATAAACCTCATGGAGCTAGAAGCTAAAATTTTCTATGAAATTTTTTGTTTTACTATGTACTCTCAATTGTATAAAAATCAGCAAAATCTGAGATGTGTGGTGACATTTTTGAAAAACTCTGGCTCAATTGCCATGAAATTAACATGATACTAACAGAATTTGGTAGCATCTGTACATAAATGCTTGAAACATAAAAGTTGAATGTTTAAAATACCAATAATCCCTTTTAAAATTGATGTTAATATTTTATTAGCAATTTTAAAAGAAAGCGTAAACTTTCTGATTATATGCTTCTTTGGTAAAAAAAGGGGCGTTAACTTACTGGTTGAGTGCACCTCCGCGGAGCTCTGTGATCAAACTGTTAGAAGACCCTAAAAACTATAAAAAAAAAATCCCTGATTGACTTAATTTGTATTTTTACATTGTTTCCTTTTTTTATCTATTTTTGCTTTTCAGGCATATATTAAAATTTAAAAAATTACTATTTCTTTTTAAGAAAACATTATTAAATAATAAAATTTTTTTAAAATTTATTTATTTCGATATCATTTTTAACTTGGTTTTGTTAAAAAAGCATTTTTTTGTGACAGACTTGACACATAAAATCACACTAAAAAGAGTTAAATATGCTTGAGAAACTGTTTTCAATATTTTACTTTAAATTATAAAGAAGGTAAATGAAGTTAAAAAGTTTTAACGTTGTGAAATTAACACAAGTTTTACAACACATTTTCAGCCTTTTATTATATATATATATATATATATATATATATATATATATATATATATATATATATATATATATATATATATATATATATATATATATATTATATATATCTATATATATATATGTCATATATATATATTATATATATATATATATATATATATATATATATATATATATATATATATATATATATATATATATATATATATATATATATATATTGTATTTTTAATTTAAATATAATAATTTATGTTATAGGCTTTCTTTTTTTAGTGAGGTTTCTTATGGACTCAACCGTTTTTTTCCCCGGTAAAATGTCTTTTTTTATTTCATTAGTTTTTCAATCAATTAAAACATAAAATGTTAACTATTTTTTTATTAGCTTATAAATAAAATTAGACATAAGCTAATTTTACCAAACAACCTCACCACCAAGACCTAATATTGACCCTTAAAAAGTCTAGGGGATCGAACTAAAATTAAAAATACTGTGTAGTGTTGATATTTTCGTTAAGAAAATAATTATAGTTCTCGTTAACAAAAGGCTTCAATTTTTGTTCTTTTTTCGTGCACGAAAATATCACATACAGTCAACTCTTGATATCTTGAATAGTTGATATCTCGAACTTTTTTGAATCCAGTCGAACCCTTATTTATGGATTATACTCTCGATAACTCGAACATTCTCTCGAACTAATTAATCGGTCCTTTGGAGGTTTGAGATATCGAGAGTTGTCTAATTAATTATAGTAATAGTTCTAGTTCTCGTTAACGAAAAGCTTTAATTTTTATTATAAATCTTTCATTCAAAAATATCACTGTTGATGACAAAGTTTAATTTGTTTTTAATTTAAAGGTTAACCTATTAAACACCTATATAACTATACCTATAGTTATATAGGTGTTTAATAGATTAACCTTTGTCAGGTGTCACAAAACTGTAAGCACAAAAAGTTATTTAATGCAATGTTTCTTTCCTGATAATAAAAAGGCTTTAAAATTTTATAGGTTTAAAAAACAATTTAGTATTTATTTGATTTTTATTTTCATACCCTGACTAATAGTTAAAAGATATATTCAATATCTTGAATATATCTTTTAATTATTAGTCAGGGTATGAAATAATAATCACAATATCTTGTGATTATTAATTATATAAATTGTTGTATATTAAGTGAAGCAAAGAAGAAACATATTAAAGATTATAAATTTGTCAAGAAACACTAAGACAAAAACAATTAAAAACAAAATTTAAATAAAAAAAGAAGTCTATTTACTCTTCATCTTCAGAATCAATATTTTCATGAAATGTCTCGATAACCTCCTGATTGTATGGCAAAGAATCGTAAACCTGAGCATTGGATGTAAACCTTTTTAATACTTTTTTTTTTTTTTTTTTTTTTTTTTTCGCGTGTTTCACTTGAAGAGATAAGACGTATTTTATTTTGGCGTAAGTCTTCTTTTTTTTTTCCTGCATTATAAGTATTTTGCTATCAACTTTTTCACTCCAATATATCTCATCTCTATTTATATATCTCATCAACTATATCTCATACTTCTATTTCTTAGTTTTGGTATTTACTTTACTTTTTTAGTAATACTTTTTTAGTATTACTTTCGCTACTTTTCTACATTTACTATTATATATTCACGTGCTTTTGAGTAATTTAATTATAGTATTTTGTTTCTTAATATTTACTCGTATATACATAATTATATACCTCTATTATATGTTATTGTTGTAAACATTAATTTAATTAACGGTTTTATTTTTTCTTAAATTCAGTGTTATTATCTTAGAGAGTTTTTTGAAAGTTTCAGCGACTTTTTATTTTTTATTTTTATTATACTCAAGTCGTATATAAGTCGTATATGAAATTTATATTCGTAATAATAATACAAATATATTATTATATGTCTATATATATTTATATATATACATATATATATCAATATATATATAATTTAAATGTTATATAAACTATATATACTGTTGTTTAAACATATTTACGCTAAATGCCTCTAAAAGCCGACAATTCTGAGTTGAATAACAAGTATGAGACGCTTCTAAAGCAAGTAGAAGCGTTATCAAAAACAGTTGTTGAACAAACATCGACAATCATCGCCCTCACAAAGCCAACAACTTGAGGAAAAACCTATTGCTTCCTCAACTACAACGGAAACTTTGTGGTCGGAAAAAAATCAACTAAAACGCCAGCTCAACTAGATATGCTTAATTGTGTAGCTAATGAGAACAAAGATAGAATGAAGCGTGACAAAAATCTTATCGTCTTTGGCATTCCAGCATCGACTAAAAAAGAACCTAACGAGAAGCAAGTAGACGATGAGAACAAAATAAAAGAGCTTCTAACCAACGTTAAAATTAATTCGGACAACATAATAAAATGTTTTCGCTTACGGTCAAAAGATCCGAATAAACCTCCACCTATTATAGTTGAGACGACAGACACTGTCGCCAGAAATAATATTGTTAAAGCAGCCCGGCGTAAATTTGAAGGCATCTATGTTAATCCAGATCTGACAGAAGCACAAAGAAGACAAGATAGACAATTACGAGACGAGTTGAAAAAGAAAAACGAGCCTCTTAATTTAAAAAACAACTGGGCAAAGACAAGTCTTTAGTACGTTATTCGTAATAATGCCGTAGTTAAAGTAGACAAATAGCAATCAACAGTAAGTAATTTAAAACCATATAACGACAATTTAAATATAAACGAAATTTCTTTAGAGCGAAAGTCATTTTCAACTATTAGTCTACTACAACAGTCAGCTTTCCATAAAATACCATGCTGTTATACCAATGCTACATCTCTTAACAATAAAATGCCAGAGTTTCTAGCATCAATTGAGACATACAACCCTAAAATAATCTTTGTTACAGAAACTTGGTGGCATGAATCATCGATAACTAACATTGAAAACTATATGTTATTCAGAAAAGATCGCGTGTCCAGTAGAGGAGGTGGGGTGGCTATTTATGTCGACACTTCATTAAAACCTAATGAAGTAAGCGAAATTGTTTTATTAGATTCCCCTGAACAAATTTGGTGCGAAATATCGTACGGTTCCGAACACATCCTTCTGGGTTGTATATACAGGCCACACACGCTAGATCCACTCGAGAATATTGAAGCGTCCATTATTAAAGCGAATGAACTTCTGTCTAATATATACAGCGGCTTGTTGATTTGTGGAGACTTTAGTTTGCCAGGGATTAACTGGGATTTGAGCAGTATCCTAACTGTCAGCAACACAGATATCCTTTCAAGTAATTTTATTGACATCCTCGCCGAGTCGTTTTTGATACAATTTGTTACTAAGCCCACTTTTCAACTTGATGAAATTACATCGAACAATACTCTTGATCTAATTATAGCCGAAAATGAAAATCGGGTCCTCGATATTATTCACCATGCACCTTTAACGTCTCTGAAGAAATCTCACCACGTCCTTCAATGGGATTACGTTGTTAAAAGCGCTGCAGTTGTAGGAAAACACATTGAAAAACGCGTTTATCATAAAAGTAACTTTGTAAAGATATCCGAATATTTTAACAATATCAACTGGCAGATGGAATTCAATGGACACAATACTGATGACTGTTATAACATTTTCCTGAACCACTACGAGGCTGCATGCAAAAATTATGTCCCAGTGACTAACTTAAAATGGATTCGTCGTAGAAGTGAATGGATGAATGATGACATCAAAAATAAAATAAAAGCTAAAAATAAACTATGGTTTCGATGTAGAGCGAATGGATATAAAAATCTTAAACTAGTCAACGAATACAAAGCGTGTAATATTCAATTGAAGAAGCTCATATATAAAGCTCGTTGTGAGTTTGAACTTGATTTAGCGATAAAATCGAAGCACAACCCAAAGATCCTGTTCAAGTATGTTAATAGTAAACAAAATGTTAGAACTACAATAACAGCCTTAAAAGGAATCAATGGCAACACTATCACAAATCCAATAGAAATTGCAAATTGGCTGAACAATCACTTTCAAAGTGTTTTCAACAAAAATGAAGACGATGAACTGCCATATTTTATAAAACGAACTGAAGCCATCTGCAAATACTCGCAAATAACGCTAGATCTGGTTAAAAACAAGCTGAGCAATTTATCAGTTGACAAAACCGTTGGTTTGGATGGTGTAAGCGCATATGTACTGAAGAACTGTTCTGACAGCTTCTTAATACCTTTAAGCGCAATTTTTCAGAAGTCGCTATATAGTGGGTGTTGTCCTAAAGTATGGAAAAAAGCTAATGTAACACCACTGTTTAAAAATGGAAGTAGACTCGACCCAGGCAATTACCGGCCTATATCCTTAACATCAGTTGTATGTAAAGTGATGGAGAAAATATTACGTGACACTATGGTCAATCATTTAGTCGAACATAGCCTTATTTCAAAAAATCAACATGGTTTTGTCAATAAAAAAGCTTGTGTGACTAATTTGTTGGAGTCGATTGACATGATGTCAAAAGCATTATCTGACAAGATATCTATGGACGTAGCTTTTATAGATTTCAGTAAAGCATTCGATATGGTTCCCCACAAGAGACTAATTTACAAACTTGAGGCATATGGTTTTACTGGAAATCTCCTGAATTGGATAAAATCGTTTTTACACCAGCGTTTTCAACGAATCGTCATGGGCGATTATGTTTCCTCGTGGCTTGAGGTATTTAGTGGCGTCCCTCAAGGATCCGTATTAGGTCCAATACTTTTTATCATTTTTGTGAACGATATATCCGATATTGTTAACCATCCATGTAAAATGTATGCTGATGAATCTAAACTGCTGGCCCGTTTAGACCACCCATTAGATTCACAAATGCTTCAAACTGATATCTACAACATAGCCGATTGGTGTAATACCTGGAAAATGAAACTTAATCTCGATAAATGTAAAATCATGCACATAGGTAAAAAAAACAACTTTTATGTCTACTTAATGCCAGCTAATAACAATAACAGTGTCGAACTTGCATCAACTTTAGTCGAACGTGATTTAGGCGTCATGATTACACCAGACTTAAAATGGCATAACAGTTCAACTTTAACCACCAATAAAGCTAACCGTGTATTAGGCATGTTGTATCGTACTTTCAGTCACATGACTCCGCAACTACTTAAAATTCTATATACAACTTTTGTACGACCTCATCTGGAATTTGCGGTAGCAGCCAGCAATCCATCATCAAGAATAGATATTGACAAAATCGAGAAAGTACAAAGAAGAGCTACCCGTTTAGTACCTTCGTACCGTCTTATGTCATTCAAAGATCGTCTGAATATACTGAACTTAACGTCCTTAGAAACCCGTCGCATTAGGGGAGATCTGATACAGGCCTATAAAATTATTAACAATATTGACATTGTCTCATGGAGTGAACCCCATGTCCTTCGTGTTGGGCAGTCAAATAAAATAAAAACTAGAGGACATCATCTAAAAATGACTAGAGAATATGTTAAAAATTGTGAGCAAAGGCACCAGTTTTTTACTAACCGAATAGTGAATCATTGGAATGCATTGCCGTCAGAAGTTGTATGCGCTTCATCAGTTAACAGTTTCAAAGCTAAGCTTGATGCAGAAATTTCAAATAATCCGCATAAGTAGAGATTATAACTGAAAAAAAAAAAAAAAAAAAAAAAACAATAAAGGAAAAACAATAAAGTACAAACTTATACTTTATACTATATATCTTATTGTAAATTTTTATATATATTGATATGAATAAAATTAATGTATGAAGTAGATAAGGCTGCCAAAACCTGTAGGTTATACAGGGAAACCTGTTGCAGCAATTTCTCTACTACTACTACTACTATATAAAAAATAAACACTCATAGCAATAAACGACATACATCAAATTAGAAAATTAAATCTTTTTGTTTAAATAAAAAACATCTCTTCGTTTAAATTAAAAATTAGGGAAAAAAAAATCAAAATGTTTAAAAAGCGAGCCATGTCTTCTTGTTTGTTCTATTCTTTCTTTTCGAAAGAATAGAACAAACAAAACAAGTTAGTTTTATTCTTTCAAAAAAAATTCTTTAACAAGCTAATATCAGGTTTTTGTTTGTTTAGTTTAGTTGTAACACTCACTGTTATAAAAAAATGAAATATTGCATGCTGTCATGACCCAGAAAAATTCTTTGGGGGAATGATTGTACTATCATTGGTGATTACTAGATTATAAGTTCCAAAAGTAAAATAAAAAAAGTTAAAAAGATTAAAAAGATTAAAAGTTCTGATTACACCACCGTCCGTGGAAGAAAATCCGTTTATTAAATTTTGCATAAAATCCCATTAAATACAAAGCTGATAAGTGTTTAACAAAAATAGTTTTAAGAATTTTTATTCATCCCAAAAACATAACAAAGATAACTCTGCAGTAAATTCACAGGTAGATAACTACTTTTTTAATTCGTTTAAAGTAAAGTTTCAATTCTAATTATTATTTCTAGAGAAAAACGTAAACTGATTTGTATATATTCCCAATCAAATTTTTTGCTGTTAAAGTCTGTAATGCATCTTTGCAGGCTGTCTTTATATTCTTAGTGGTTACTTGGTATCTTGTGTTTTTGCTAATTTATACTGATGAGGGAGTGCTTCAGTTGCTTGCTCTGAATAAATTCCCAAAGAGCTATTGTGGCGTTGGATAAACTGTGGAACATGGTGAATTACAGCACGAACCTTGGGAGTGATGGAGGTGTCATGAAGATGTAAATAGGACACTCTGAACATAAGGTTCATAGTGTCCTATTTACATAGGACACTCAAGAACAAAAGGTTCATCTGAGGCATTGATGATGAGTTAATGAACAGAGCATTTGAATAAACTTACTTTCTTGATGTTAGCACTAGCCGCATTGAATGCCTGATAATCTCTTCTGATTAATCCAAAAATTCTTAGAGATCTTCACTTAGCAAGATTTTTTGATGAAATGTCACACCAAGAGCATAGGTGTGCACTAGAATGTGCTTGTAGACCACAAATGATATTTGCCAGTTTCATATCACAGTACAAAATAAAGGAAAGTTTTTCAATGTTCAGCAGATCAAAAACTTGCTTGACGTTGCTATAGTTTTCTTGGAGAATCAGTAACTGACGCTAACACCAGAATCTTTGGCCAGAGAATTGGTGAGAAGTCGTTTTGATGGCGGATTGTAAAACTTAAACATTTTCCATGATTCCAAATCTTACTTTTAAAAAACCACCACCACCATCTACTCCCAGCTTCATATCGTAGTCAACAGAGAGGTTTCTAGTTTCAAGAACTTGCTGAGCTTTCAAGTCTTTGCATTGAATGACAATTTTATCCACCTGATTTATGTCCTTGTCAATTGCAATTTTGATCCAAGTTTTGGTAAAATGACTTTCAAGTTTTTTGCTCAACTATTCAAACTTGATGAGAAAGTTCTTTTCTACAATCCGACTTGAAACAACTTGATTTAGAGTTAACACCAGCTTTTTCACGCCAGAATTGAACAGCCCTGTGTTGTGTTGCACATAATCAAGATCTTTTGCTTTCAATTCTGGTTCTTTATTGAAAAGTCTTCTTGCATTTAAAGGTAAACCTTTGAAATAATTAAAAAAGATTTTTACATTATTATGCATTACATAGACTTAAAATATGAAGTTAAAACTTTAAATATCTAATAAAATGTTACCTGGAATATCTGGAATAGAGTGGCGTCCTATTCCCGTTTGGTCTACTAAGAAGAACTATTCCATGGGGAGAAGCTTCCTTCGTGGCAATGACTGATGCTGCTACTCTTTCAGCTGCTACAGAGTCCTTTGACACAATTTCTGCTAAATTCTTTTGCAAAGTGGACTTTGAGCAACTGTGTGAAAGACCCTTGCCGAATAATAAAAAGCATTTAGACCATCTTCTTTTAACTGAGTTTTGGTTTGCTTTCGGTTTCTGGGTTGCCTAGACTAGATGTGGAGAACTGTGCCTTGCTTTGGAGAACTGAATCTCTTGTAACCGGACAGACTTTGATATTAGAGAAGTCAAACAGCTGAAGTTGGGTTCAAAGCTTTTCCTCCTCAAGCCTCCTAAGGTTTGAGCGGCAATGTTCACAAATGCCAGTTGGGACTTTTGGATCATTAAAGTCAATTGGCAGGTTCAGAATTTGTTGCATTTTTTCTGTTATGAAGCTGATTAGCCTTGCCTACACTGTAAAAAATGTCACGCCAAATTCTTAAATGTCCCAGCAAAATGTTTAAATTTCACGCCACTTTTAAATCTTTGCACAGAAATGATCTAAGTCGCGCGACATTAAAGTTTACACGCAATTATAAATGTCACGGAGAGTATAATTGTTTAAATGTCACGCCTTACTAATAAATTTCGCGCCACGCGCTAAATGTCGCGTGACTAATAAACATATGTGTCCGCAGCGAAAAAAAGAAATATCACATTAATTAATTTTTCGTGGTTCATTCTGTGACTAAAATGTCTAAAATAATTAAAATTTCCTATTTATTAAAGTTTATGCCAGTGGTTTTGGCTGTAGATGATAATTTGTTCACGCTTAAATCTAAAGGTAAAAATTTCTTTGCAACGAGTTTTACTTTTTATTACATTAACATTAATGTTTAAAATATTAGCTAAAAATGCACTCTACATAAATTGTCATAACTTATGAGAGTAAAGTAAGTTGATAATTAATCTGAGATAAGTATTTTCAATGATATATTAGGAATACCTATTCTTTATTTATAATTCTTATTCTTAATGCATCATTGAGTATTTCAAGCTCGTTTTACCATGTTATACACTATGATAACGATTATCTTTACACAATGCCATTGTGTACATTGCTTTTATTAGCAATTGGACTGCCAATCGATTATTTACAATTATTATTGTTTAAAAAAAACTTTATTAGGCTATTTATGTCAGAGTTTCTGTGTGACCTGGCCACACTAGCTTTTTTTTTTAAAATAGAACTTTTAATGGTGGTTCAAGAAACAAACAAATACGGAATTAATAGTATATAATAATTAATGTGTATACACATTGATTGTTATGTCATATTTAAATTTTATTTATCTATTGGTATAATTTTGATAGCATCTAAGTCCTGCTTTTTGGTTGTATTTTTGGCTAATCAAATCGAAAGTTGTTTAAGTAATTTATTCGTATTTCGATCAAAATTTCTAATCACTACGAGGATTTCAACAACAATAGAAAGAAGTTTTTTGCTGCACTAAAATATTTACTTTTATTGCACTAAAAGTAAATGGTTTATTGCAATAAAACCTGAAAAGTTATCTTTTGATTTATATTATTCTAGAATTTGTTCTGATAATTTTATTATAGGTTTAGTTTTTAATTTTTATTTTGGTTTTTATTTTTGTTTAAGATAATCCAAACTACTAATTGTATCACAAATTGTATAAACTAATCAAGCCAACACACAATAGTAATAATTACAATAGATACGTATGCTAATATCTTTAGGTATACATAGTTACAGTTACTAAAATGTTTTTACAATTTTAAGATAACAATTTTACTTTCAGTATATATTTTCAAAATTTATTTATCAAAATTTATTTATTAATTTTACTTATTTAAAGTAAAATTATAAAATAAGCTTAAAATACAATTTATAAAATAGTATCTATCAGATAATCTAATTGCTATTTTTATACTATTACTGTATTCTATGCCTAAAGATATTGCTATCTAATGTTGTTTAGTTAAACATAGTTTGTAATAAAATTGTCATAGTTTTACCCAATTTATGCATAAAATATATGAAAATAATGTTTTGTTGTAGTGTCCTCAAAGATCAATGTATTGCCAGATGACTTTGATTTGATGTTTTCTGACATGGTCTTAGAAGATGAGATGATAGTTGCTCTTCCTAATCCATGTGAAATCGTTGTCAAGATTATTGGTAAAAATTTACTATAAATTAGTCTAAAATCATTATGTTTGATTTTTTCTTATTATTTTAAAAGTTTGTTCTAAACTAATAATATTTTTCTTGACTCTTATCTTATGTTTAATATATGATAATTATATTTCGTGTTTTAATATATGATAATTATATTTCAGAATCAGATTCATCATTCCAAAGAGTAACATATGAACCGACATTTCTTGAAATGTTGAACTCTGTTCCAATTTATAGCCAAGAAAGTTCAGGGGATTCTCCTGGTACAAGTAAAAGCTCGACACAATCATCGTTCATTTTGCAGCCACAAATTATGAATGTTCCAGCTACTGTCCAGTCTCCACTCTCTCTAGAGATTGGAGTTAAGGTATGTTGCTGTGGATTTATGTCTGAAAATAATGCACGTATGGACAGACATTTAGGTATAAGTTCAATATGTAAAATTGTTTGTAAAATTTGTAATGCCTCATTTAAATCAACAAGAGGAGTATCAAGGCACATTTGCAAAAAAAATGAAAAAGCAGTTTTACCCTTTCCAAAGATAAAAATAGACTCACAAACAACATTTGCAATTAAACTCTGTGGTCAGTTGAGAGTGCCTTCAACAACTGTAAATACAATATTTAGTATTTCCGCCAATATGTTACTTAATATTCGGAAGTTAATAAAAAAAGAGCATTTTCATACTTTTGACAAGTATTTTTCACAAGTGGATATCCTGAGTAATAAATATCAAAGAGAAAAATTGTTAAATGATTTGTTTGACATTTTGAAAATAAATGAAGTTTTGTTTGCTGGTGGCAAAGGTTATAATTTTTTACTATTTGACATTATTAATTTCCTTTTGCAAATTGATGAGTTTGTACAACTTTTAAGTAGAAAAGATGCTGAAGCAAATTATTGTACAGATTTCTCTATCCACAAGCCATTAGAATTTTCTCTTAGCTTATATTGTGACGATATAGAATTACCTAACCCTATTGGCAAACCAAAAACTTCATAAACTAACTATTTTCTATGTTCAATTTCATTCCTTGCCATCATATATGCGTTCTACTTTAATATCAGTTTTTCCACTTGCTGTTGTGCCTGTAAAGTTATTTAAGTCTAATAAAAAAGGGGCTTATTTTCAGTACTTAGAGATTTTATTACTTCCTGTAATCTTTTGAATAATGGTGTTACTTTTAATTCAACGATTGGTTGTGTAAAACTATTTTTAAAATTTGTAATATATTTGGGAGATACATTAGCTTCAAATCACATTTGTGAATTTAAAACCAGCTTTGCACCAAATGTATTTAGATGCTGTCGTACATGTCTCACCACAAATATACAAATGTCATCAATTTACAGAGAAGATATGTGTATGTTACGTACTCAAGCAAACCACCAGCAACATATCTTAGATCTCAAGAATGTGAAAAGTAAAAAATCTAAACTCTATTGGTCAAGATTTTATGGCATAAACTATGAGAGTGCGCTTTTACTAATCACCGCTTTTGATATTATTGAAAACGCACCACACGATCCCATGCACATTTTGCTTGAAGGGCTAGTGCCCCATGAACTATGTCTTCTGATGCGATTGCATATTTGTGAAAAACGTATATACTCATTAGCTGCACTTAATAGTTTTATTATCCAGTTTCCTTATTCATACTCTGAAGCCAGAGATAAGCCCAATATTTGTCCAACTACCTTTGATATTTCAGGGTATCAAACATCTGCTCAAATTTTGATTCTTGCTCGTATCATTCCACTTTTTATTGGACAATACAGCAATTCCAATGATCCTTATTATGTTAATTTTCTTGATCTTTTACAAATTCTTCAACTTACTTTGTCACCAATAACTACGTATAGAACTATTTTGGATTTAGAAACTCTTATTGAAAAGCATAACAAATCATTTACTTTATTGTGGCCAAATAATCTGATACCAAAACATCATTTTTTACTTCATTTTGTTGGACAAATGCATCGATTTGGTCCACTAAAAAATCAATTTTGTATGACTTTTGAAGCAAAGCACAATAAAATAAAAAGTGTACGATGGCATAACTTTAAAAACATTGCCAAATCAGTTTGTCAATATCTTCGAATGAACACAATTTCAAACTTCCTTGATGATAATGGTCAACTGATACCTTATCCTTTTACGGCAAAGACTCAACATTTAAAAAACAGAATTGTAATTGGTTCAATTGTATACCAAGTTGGTGATATTATTTCAACAATTGATGATTCTTATCAACTTTATAAGATCACTGACCTTCAACCTAATTGCGTAAAAGTTTGTATCATGACAATTGACATCTATATTCCTCACAAACTGGCTTTTCATGTTAGAAGTACTAATACTTTTAAATCAATTGTTTTAGAAAATCTCCAAATTCCGTGGCCATTGACAAAATTTACTGTAGATGGCACAACATTAGTTGTGCCTAGGTCAAAACATTGTCTCATAGTTTTTTAATAAATATTTTGAATATGAATATATATTGTTTTTAATTTTTTGCTGTTTTTTTAGAGAAGTTTGTGTTTCATTCATTTATATATAAGCGTATTAATGCATACAGAATATATACTTGCTAAAGTGTTAACTAAGCAATAAAATGTTTATATATATATACATATTATTATATATAATTTTTTAATACTAGCTACCTATCTTTTCAATGGAGTGCAGCAAATATTTAAATGGTTTGGTGCCTTGCCGTAAGCATACTTTAAAAGATGTTTGCAGTGAATTGGCGCATCACCTTTAAGAGTGTCTTCCAGAGGGAAACCCTTCAATAAGAAAAAGGTTCTATAATCGTGTAACTGTCCTTTTGAAACAGTCATACCCAACCTGTACTTTTGGAGAAGAGGGTGCAGTAATTTTGAACTTTAATGTTTGTAAATTTTCCATAACACATCAGTGAAATATTACCCAAAAAAAAATTATATACCCAAATATAAATTATAAAAACCAATAAATAGTTCACAACATCATTTTTAAAAGATATTTAATTAAGCAGAACATAAGGTATGGATAATTACTCCAAATAAGGTTAAAATTAAATTCAAATAGATATTGATTCAGTTTTTTTTAATCTTCAGTTTTATGCATGTTTCGTGTAACACATCCATGTGTTACACAAAATATGCCACTTTTTTAATTCATCAGATATTATTTCAATGATAAATTTTCTTTTTTAGGGTGGAGTTGTAAAGCGCGTTTCTAATGTAATTCGGAAGCGACGTGAGCGTCGTTTAAAAAGTTTGCTTGAGGTAAAAAATGCAAACAGAATGCTAAACATCTCTGGAATAAACGACAGCTCATTTGATGAAGATATACAGGTTATACAGATGAGCCCTTTTTTTAAAAATGTTTTTAATCCAGTATATTTTAAATAAAAATTATTATTACCTAATATATACAGGAAGAATTTAATAAGGTTTACTTTAGAGTTATTGCAATTTCTTTGTATGTTAGTTTGCTATGTGCGGTCCTTTATATGTGGTATTATCATTTAACTTTTATAAGTAATAAGTTTTTTGTTATTTATTTAATAAATTTTTATTTTGCGAATTTTTAACAAAAAGTTATTCCAAATGGGTTAAAAATTTATAGATCATGGACGAATTTGAAAGAATGGGCATTGTTTCCAAAGAAGCTGCATTAGAGAGGCTATTGCAAGTTGTTGAAAAGTTGTATCCAGGTTCAGATATTCCGTCGGCCCTAATACGATTTCATAAGAACACTACCAGAAAAGGAGTGTTGTGTCCAATTGTTATTGCTAGTGTAAGTTTAACATATAGTTGTTTCTTTTTGGATTTTTTAAATTGTTATTTATTTTGGTAATGTTATGTTATTAAAATAGATTTAAATTTTTATTTTTTAACAAATTTGTAGTCTGAAGATAACGTCTCTTCTCCTGGGCCCCAACTCATTTTAGGAGAGAAAATAACATTTGTTGATAAAGGGAAAGTAATTGCGATTGGTCATCGGCATAATGATTCCTTACACGTGCTTCAATTAATTGCTTATTACTATATTATGGACTTGTCGTACCCAAGATCGTTTGGGGGAGTTTTGGGGCTGTTGCAGCATTACGTCTTGCAAATACCATTTGCTTGTACAAATAAGCTTTGGTTAAAAAAATGCCGAGTCTTGTAAAAGGTTTTGTTGTTTTTTGCAACTGTTCAACTCTTCGAATAAAAACATTAAGTCAATTTAAAATTAAATATTTATATTTATGTTTGATGATGGTTACTTTTTATACAAATAAAATATAATTTTCATTATTTCTTTGGTCTTTTTATTTATTTAATTTAAGTAAAGTGTGCCATTTATTAAATTAGTCACGCGATTTTTAGAGATTTCGTATGGCGTGACATTTATATTTTTTATTTGTCACGGGACATCTAAAACACTATCGTGTCGCATGTCACCGAGCCCGATTTAACGCGCCACATTTAAATTTTTTAAATGTGGCGTGAATAATCGGGCTTGGTGACATGCGAAACGATGGTGTTTTAGATGTCCCGTGACAAATAAGAAATTAAATTGTCACGCCATTTTTAAAAAGTCGCGTGACAAATTTAATTATAAATGTCACGCCATATTTAATTGCTAAAAGTCGCGTGACTGATTTAATTATATATGTCGCGCCAAACTTAATATCTAAAAGTCGCGTGACAGTTTTAACTCTAAATGTCGCGGGTTAAATCGGGCTTCGTGACATGGCAATTTTATTAGACAATTTGGCGTGACATTTTTTACAGTGTAGACACAATAAGCAAACAGTCTTCCTGTTCTATTCATGGGTTTTTGCTTGATTTAGCATATATTTTTTTAATTCAGATACTAAATCTATAAAAAAAAATAGATTGAATAACTATTGCTTAAGCTTTTTCTGAGAATTTTATTTTATATATAGTTATCAATAGTTTATAAAAAAGCAAATTCGATTTTTTTTAGTTTTTTTGATAAAAATAAATCATATTTTCTTTTTGAAATTAAAAAAAGATACATTTTTTTTAATTTTCTTCCTAAAACAACTTAGTTAATACAATCTGTCAAAATTTATGAAGTAGATGAAAGTTATAAAATATTAATTTTTAATGCTCTAGAGTTAAATATATTGCAGTTTTTTTAATGCGATTTTATGCAAATATGAGAATGGATTTTCTTCCGCGGACGTGTAACCGCGGACGTGTAACCGCGTGTGTAACCAGATTTAGGGACTTGTATCCTAGTTATTACTAATGATAGTACAATCATACTCCCAAAAAATTTTTCTTACTATATTTTATTTTTTTACAACAGTTTGCTCAATAGATTTGATGTATTTAATAAAAAGGTAACCTTTATTTTTCATCATGGCGATAATTTATTTTTTATTTTTTTTATTTTACATTTGTTGTCGTAGTAAATAAATTGCTTTCACAAACACAAACAAGATTTCTAAAAGAAGATAGTACTGATCTTATCATTAGAACCTTTTACAAGCGCGTGTTTTTTTAAGGTGCAACTACCCTCATGTTTTAAGACGACACAAATTGACTAACTTTTATTGATTTAAATACTAAATATATTACTGGTGATCAAAAAAAGACATGTAAAATGGTTGCTTATTGCTATGGTAACTAACAAAAATTGCTCAAAATACCTAAAAGAAACTGGGTTTACGTTGTAAAAAAATAAATAAGAATGATTAAATAATGTAACTTTACAAAACTATTCTAAAATACTAAAACTGTAAATAAAGTTGATATTTTAGTAATTTTTTTTATTTGTAAAAAAGTAAACAGGGGAAAGCGGAGCAACATGGAGAACGTTTTGAAAGCCCTGAGTTATTTTAAAACTATCAGTCGTGAAGTAATAATACTTTCTCGATATGTTTATGTTATTAAATTGATTCATTGCCTACTTGAACTTTCAGTTTGCAAATATAACAATCTAAAATAAAAATTAAAATAAAAACTTCATGAATTTGTCATCTGGTCACGTGACCAAAACAAGATGACTTATTATGCAATTTTTGCCTGCAATTTTATAACATTTTAAAAACTACCAATAACTCTAACTAAAGTAACACAAAATAAACACACGTCGCAAAAAACTACTTCTAAACTAGGTAAACTCGAAGGACACCATCCATTATGTGAAACTAAAAGTGAGGAATTTTTTTAAGCGCAAAAAGTAAAACAATGTGTATAAATTTGCATTTATTAATGCAAATTTATACACATTGTTTTGCTTTTTGTATTACTATTGTATTGTACTAATTTGTAATACTATTGTATTTAAAAAAACCAATTAGTGTTTTAAAATACAACATGCAAATTCAGTTTAGTTTCCACCCAAATTTTTGATTTTTTGTTGAATTGTTATATGAAAACTCATCTTGCCCTATTCGCTGTGTTGCCCCGCTTTCTGCTACATACTCGATAATAATAAAATATAAAAAAAATTGAAAACTCAAAATCTAAAGACTTATTAGAAATTCAACATCACTCATATCATTACTTTATATTAATTATATCCCCGAAATGAACCAAACTCTTTTGCATATCTTATCGAGAACATAAATTATGGAATGACTTTTAATATATATATATAATGAGAATAAATTTACGTTGAAGTCCTAAAATTTATTCAAGTTTTAAACGAAAAAAAAGAAATTTTTAAAATTTGACTATAAAAAAAAAATTTCTTTTACCGTTTTCTATCGTTTTTTTATAGTAAAATTTAATTTGGAAGTTTCGTGCAATTTGAAAATTAAATAATGTTATGCTTTATATTATATTGAAACTAAAAAGTATTAAAAAGTGTTACCTTTTTCTGGGGCATACATTCCATAAATGATGTATGAGATTTCTAACAATTTTTCACCCCTTGTCAAACTCTGTTATTTTTCTGGCCATTTCCCCTTCCCTTCCTTATATATGATGTCAGTTTTCGTATCGCTTTCCCCTTCCTTCCCTAAAGTGACCGTGCATATGCGTAACCAGCATTGATTTGTTTCTGGTTAAATTATACATTTATTTTGTAGTAGAACTCATCAAATAATATTATATATAGAATACTTAATATCTGATCAAATAATAAACAAACTAATCAAATTAAGCAAATTTTATTCTATACCTGTAATATAAATTCAATCACTCATCATCTTTCCACGGGTTGTTGAAGTGATCTACGATTGAAACAATAGGTAGTCAATGCTCTCAGCAAACCAAACGGTTATTGTCTTCTTGAGACATAACCAGATTCGTTGCTTTATACATATATGTGTTATTGGTTTATCAGTATTACTTACATCACAATCAAAATGATGATTTTGCTGTAAGCTGTTTGAAAGAACTTCTTCAAGCCACTTTAGGGCAATTAGAGTTTATTATTCGCAATAGTGACTTTATGTGTTTGCATTTCATCACATTTTACAAGTCGCTAGAGAGAAAACGAAGTTTCGTACTTAAAATAATGACAATTGTATTTGAAATAATAAAAAATGACTTTATGCGTTTGTTTTGAAGCACATTTTATAATCCGCTAAGTTGCAAAATACAATTCTTAAATTTATATACTAATAGTTAATATTTGTAAACAATGTAACTTACAGTCAAATGGTAATACAATAATAAAAAGTTGGTAAATTTTTAAATTATTTTATGCCTCTAATAAACTTACATCAAATTACCCACAAAACAAATATGTCAATTCTATACCACATTGTATATTTAAATACCTTTAAAATCTGCGCGTATAAAATCAACTTTTTTTTTTAATTGACATCATTTTGGTCTCAATGCCCCCCCTCCTTTCCCCGTAGTCAACTCTTGTCAAACGTTTCAGTACCCCCATCCCCCCTATATTTACTGAGATTATTTATGGATATCCCCTCTAATGCTAGCATCTTACGTCAGAGTTTAACAGATCATTTTTAAACTTATTATTGGTTTCCATTTTTTTGTGTATTTTTTTTCTTACTTTTTACAATAAGAACTGAGATTATAAAATATTTTTATCCTATTTTAGGCTAAACGTTTAAACATGTATATTTTTATCAGTATATCTTTTATTTGAGTTAATGTTGCGATAGTTTGAATAATATACAACGGTTTTCATAACGCTATACTCCTGCTTGAAAGATTAGACTTTCTTATTGAAAGTATATTAACTATGAGTTGCTGAGATATTAACAAACTGCATGAACTCTGTGAAAAACTTTCATAGTTTCTGTTTAGTGCGTGATTCTGTATAAAACTTATTTTTTAATAACATTATATTTTTTAATAACATTATATATTAATACAGATAAAATATTTTATAGGTGAGAATTATACAAAAGTTTTAATATATTGTCATTAAACGCAAAAATAAGAGTTATTTAATATATTGCAGTTTTTTTAATGCAATTTTATGCAAATATGAGAATGGATTTTCTTCCGCGGACGGTGTGTAACCAAAATTAGGGACTTATATCCTAGTATTTTCTAATGATAGTACAATCATACTGCCAAAAAATTTTTCTGACAATATTTCATTTTTTAAAACAGTTTGCTGAATAGATTTAATGCATCTAATAAAAAGGTAACTTTAATTTTTCATCATGGCGATACTATTTTTATTTTTATTTTACATTTGTTGTCGTAGAACATAAATTGCTTTCACAAACACAAGCAAGGTTTCTAAAAGAAGATAGTACTGATCTTATCATTAGAACATTTTACAAGCGTGTGTTTTTTTAAAGAACAACTACCCTCATATTTTAAAACGACACAAATTGACTGACTTTTATTGATTCAAATACTAAATATATTACTGGCGATCAAAAAAAGATATGTAAAATGGTTGCTTATTTCTATGGTAACTAATAAAAATAGCTCAAAATACCTAAAAGAAACTGGGTTTACGCTATAAAAGAATAAGTACGAATGATTAAATTATGTAACTTTGCAAAATTGTTCTAAAATAGTAAAACTGTGTTTGATATTTTAGTAATTTTTTTTATTTGTAAAAAAGTAAATAGAGAAAGCGGAGCAACATAGCAAACGTTTTAAAAGCCCTGAGTTATTTTAAAACTATCAGTTGTGAAGCAATAATACTTTCTCGATATGTTTATGTTATTAAAATGATTTATTGCATACTTGAACTTTCAGTTTGCAAATATAACAATCTAAAATAAATATTAAAACTTCATGAATTTTTCATCTGGTCAAGATGACTTATTATGCAATTTTTGCCTGCAATTTTATAACATTTTAAAAACTACCAATAACTCTAACTAAAGTAACACAAAATAAACACACGTCGCAAAAAACAACTTTTAAACTCTTTACTACCTATGTTCTCTTCATTACCTATGTTCTGAAACTCTTCAATACCTATGTTCTGAAGTTTCACGTTTGCTGTCTCTTCTTTAAATGTCTCAGTAATTGTAATGGAGAAATATCTCTTACGTAATCAATTTAAAACATCTTCCACTGCGTAACTAGCATTGATTTTTTTCTGGTTAAATTATACATTTATTTTGTAGTAGATCTCATCAAATAATAAACAAACTAATCAAATTAAGCAAATTTTATTCTGTACCTGTAATTATATTACTTATTTTTGCGTTTAATGTCACGATTTAAACTGCCATTATAAACAACAATCATGACATAGTTGGTTAACGGTAATATAATATATCCATATATTAAGCCACATAGTTTGTTTTAATGTTTTTTTATAAGTTTCAAAATTTAAAAAAGATTTTAAAACTTAAATTAAAAACAGAATTTTAAAGATTTTTCGAATTAAAATAGTTTTTTATATTTAAATTATAAAAAAGTATTCATTTATTTATATTGTTTTTATTCAACATAACTAAATTTGTTCAAAAAAGTTGTGGTTTTACTGCCACAGTACTTGCTAGCGGCAGTTTTGTTAACAAATGGACTCAACGTAACATAAGACCAACATTTATCTCTTTGGCATTGAAAATGTTCGCGTAACTTTTGAAAATCAAAACTTGCGTTCTCAAATTATTTTTTGTTTAAAAAACTTTTATTTTTATAACGATCGTTTAATAAAGTTTCATTCGCGGTTTTAGAAACATTTAAACGCGGTGTTTATTAGTCTAAATTTGAGACTGAATTTTTCTAAAAAAGATTAAATGTTTAGTTGGTTTTTATTTAATTCTTTCTAGCTTAAAAAGTAGTTTAAATTCTTCCATTGTTTTTTACTATATTTTCTAAATATTATAGTTTTCGGTAATTAAAATCACGGTTTAAAACTGCTACTTATGGAGAGAGAGAACAAAACTTTTAAAAAAAAAAATTAAAAACCATTTAAAAAAAAGTATTTTTAATTAAAATATTTGTTTCGATATTTATTAACATTTGATATAAAAAATTTTGATCGTTTAAGTAAAATTTAAAGTCGGTTTAAAATTAAGTAAAAACGTCAGATGAAATAGGAAATTTCGAACTAAAAATCTTCGAAGAAAAATTCTACTAAACCATCGAATTTTTTTATTTTGTTGACGACGAACTTTTTTATTTTGTTGATCTCTTCAAGAAACAATGGCGAAAACCTTGAAAAGTTATTTTTTTATAAACATAAATTTGTGTAAAAGATGTATAAAAAGTGCAAATCTAATAAAAAAAGTTGTTTTATTCATAATTCTATCAACTTAAAAACTTATCACTTTATCTTAAATACGATATTATTTAATAAGAAATTGATAATAAAATAAAAAAAATTAACATTTTATTTTTATTTGCATATTTCGATTTTTTAATTTAATACTTAAACATAATAAAACATAAAAATATAAATAAAATATTACACAAACATTTATTACTTATTAAAACAAATATTTATTAACAATATTATTTAAAAAATTATATATTAAGAACATAATAATTAAAAACTGAAAATATTATATTAAAAAAACAACAACAATAAATCATGTACCTAATTTATAATTTTACAAGTATAATATTATTAATAATAATAATAATATATATGAAAATTTATATACTATAATAATATATTTAATAATTTATATCATAATTATAACTATTAATATATTTGAAAACGAATTATTTATAAAATATTTTAATAATAAAAAATTAAACTTTTAAATATTAAATCTAATAATCTAGTAAAATTAATTTGTATATTTAAAAACGTATTTATTATAAAATAATACATTAAGTATTTCATTAGTTATTTATAGTTATTGTTTTTATTTAATATATTTAAGGTATTAAATATTTTATTGTGTTGTAAAGTTTTTTAATTCATCGAGGGTATAAAAATCTTTTCCACGGTACCAGATATAAAACTTCTTGACATTCGAACAACGAATCCATTCATAAAATTCATTATTAAAATCAATGTCTTCATGAAGTCGAAGTTCTAATTTTTCACAAAGATTAATCCACGGAAGAAAATTTTCTTCAAAATCTTTTTTTGTTATTAAATAATTGTGAGAAAAAAGTGAGATCGATATCAACAACATTTCAATCTTATCTTTCGGTTTCCATCCATCGAAATTAATTGGATGATAAAAGATGACATTGCGAACATTAGTTGAACATTGTATTAAAAGTTTTTCTTCTTCATCACTTAAAATATTTTTATAAACTTGTAACATCGATAACTTTCTTCCAGATTTTACGTAATGATTTATGAAATAATTTTCGCAAGAAGTTAAGTAAGAAGTTTTTCCATCGTTAATCGAAATCCACCACAACTCTCGTTTATCAACCATTGATTTAATTTCATCATTAAATGATGATTGACTTTCATAAAAACATTCAATGAATAAATCATGGTAATCTTTACTTTCATAACTTTTACGTAGACGATCTAAAGTAAAATTAAATATTAATTATAAAAATGAACAAATAATAAAAATAATTATCAAAATTATAAAATTATATACATTATAATATTCTACATATTCATACATATAATTTTTATTAATTTATGATTGAATAAAAAACATACAATTTTTTATTTTTTATTAAATAGACTATATTTTATACCATAATATTATATACATAAATTAATATTAAATTAAAATGATATATAAAAATAATAAAAGTGTGAAACCTTTAGATAAAATAATTCATATGAAAAATAAATATATATAAAAATGTAATATAAAATATAATAAAAAAAACAATTTTTTAATTTTGTTAATTTATCATATTTTTAAAACAAAATACATTAAATATAAGTTATAAATTAAACATATTTAAAATAACATAACAAAAACTGAAACGGTTTTTCACACACATAAAAGATTCATAATTATGAGACATTTACAAATCAAAGTCAACATAATTTCATCATTAAAGCTACAAAATGTAATATATAAAATATATAAAAACAAGCAACAAACATAAGATAAACCGATTGAATTTAAAAATTACAACAACATCACATCAAACGACATTTTGTTTTAAAAAGTAAAAATTAAATTTATGAAACAATCATTTCAACGCAAACAAGAAAATAATTCCTCATTCAAAATTGTTTCATGTATATCATATTTCTCTAAAACTTTTTTCAAAAGAAACACAGGTTTTTTCTAAAATATTAAACTTAGACGAACGATTAAAAATAAACGGTTGAAAATGCATTTAAATAATAGCTCAGGATGTTTTAAAATTAGTGTGGCATAGGTACTTACATACCATTATCATACTGTACTAGTTTTTTTGCATACTAAAGCATGCCAAACATTTTTTAAAGTAAAAAATTTGTAAATCAATGAATTCTACGCGATGAAAATATATTTTTTGTAGCGTAGTGTTTTTGTGACGTAGGTGATGTCTTAACTTATAACTTTTTTTTTAAGGTTTATAAATATGCATTTTTTTTTTTTCACCACTAACATTTTGAAGGCAATTTGATTTATTTTTCTACATGTTTTCTAAATCTTAATTCATAATATTCTAAATCTATTTTCGATTTACCTTTCCATAAAAAAAAAATCACTCTTTCATACTCAATTATCGTATTTCCAAGAGATTAAATATATAAAAAGTTTGAACATTATAAACACGAATCTATATGCTATATTATATTAAAAAGAATAAGCTTAGAGATAGAAATCAAAATATTATAAAAAATGTTACATTAAATTTAATGGTTTACACGTTTTAACACTTTAATCTTGTATATTTATAATATAATTTAACTAATATATCAACAACAAAAAAATACTTATTATCATCAAATTTACACAAAAAATAGTCGTCGTAAGTTAAGGTTTTGTAACAATATAAATTTTGTTTTTCACAACTTTTTTAATAAAAACAAATAAACGAATATAAAACTGAAGAATACTTACGAATTTTTAGAAGTATTTGTTTCCAGTGTAAAGTTTAATAAACAATTGTAACAGAATGATATAGTACTTTTTCCAAAAAAAACAAAACGTTTGGTTTTATATACATTAAACTCGATGATCGAACTTTATAAAAATCTTTTCACAAATTCGAACAAAAAATTTAAATCAACCGCTTAGTTTTATAGAATTATATCGTAACTATCGCAACCGTTTAATATAAAATGAAAGTATTTGTGAATTCACAAAAAAAAAAAAACGTTTAGATCACGATTAAAGCTTGATAACACGTCGAATAATAAATTATACATTATTTTATACAGAAAATAAATTATTAATTCTATTAAGTATAATGATTTGAAACAAATAAAACGAAAAATAAAAGTAATAAAAAAAAATTCAGCGTAATCTAAATATAACGTAATAATATACCTAATAAAAAATCAAAAAAAAAAAATAATAGTGAAACGCGTGTTTTTTAAACAGAATTTACAGTTTGTAAATTAATATTAGTATACATATTATTATATATTAGTTTGTAAATTATTATTAGTATACATATAAATAAACAATAAACCGAATAAAAATTAAATAATATAAATTATTTCATAAAAAATTTCTCATTATTAAAACGTAACAAGACATTTGTCTTGTTACGTTTATATATATAAACTTTATATTATATTATTATAAACTTATATTATTTCAGTTATAAACCATATGTTCCACAAAAAGACTTTCTTTTGCTTAGAGACGTTTTTTTTTTGTTAAACACGTGACAAACAAGAGATTTAAAAAAAAAAAAATTTTTGCTTAAAAAGTATAAAAAATTCACTAACTTTAAATAATAGTATTTTCTATAAAAGCTTTGATCTTCAAAAAAATAATTAAAATTAATTATTTTTTTGAAAATCAAAGCTTTTATAGAAATATAAAAGCTTTTATAGAAAATTAAAACAATAAAAAAATGGATGTATTTATCCTTGTTTGACGGAGCATATACCACAAGAGCAGATCTTCTTGTTTCATTCTACTTAACTTTTTATTTTGACAACAATCATTCAAAAAACAAATCATCTAGTTAGGCTATCAGTAAAGCTACAGCTTTACTGAAGGTCTTACAATTCTGTTCAAAAGTATGATTTTGTCTTGCATCCTCTATAAATTCAAGTTGAATGAGAATATATCCAAATTAATTAGCAGTAACATTAAAGAAGTAATTAATTTAAAAAAAAACCACATTAACTTTTAAATAACGATATGTAAAGATATTTATTAAAAAAAGAATTTACTTTAAAAATAATTGTTGTAACATTTCATCGCGATATATCTTTCCTTTTTATAGCAATTAATTTGACGCTAAACTTTTTATCCAAATATTTAACAACATGAAAAATTGTTTGTCAATCCTTAACTACAATTTTTTTGCAATGTCTTTAATAAAAAGTAGTAATTTTTTAAAGTTTTCAGTAAAAAACGTAAAAAAAATCTATATTCCATATTTATTAATACAGAATATAAATGTTTTTTGTAATATAGATTTTTTTGGAATTTTTTACTGAATTTATAATAAAAAACATTTGCAAAAAAATTTGTAACTAAGGATTGACATTTTTTTTAATATCTCAAAAATGTCTTAATATTTTTGTAATCATGATAACAAAAAAATAAAGACATTTTTTCGAGATTAAAAAAAATGTCTTTGTTTTTCTTATTAGTTAAAGGTATATAGATACCTTTACCTTTAAGTTATGCGGCAGAGGGGGTCGGCACAGAAAAAAAAAATTACCTGCTACTCGCAATATTTGAATGAAGACAATTTGTTAAATTTATTCTGCGTGCGATTCAATAATTTTTTTTCATAAATCAAGTTATATTATAAGTTTAAAGAAATCACGAGTAGACTATAACATCCGCTTATGACACTATTATTAAGTTGAATATATTTATATAACGGAGGTTTCATTATGCACGTGCACATTACAGGTTCCGTTAAATAAATACTAAGGCACGTTTTAGTTTAATGACAGTCTCTATTTTTTACTAATGAATATGTATTTTTCTTTATAAAACAAGACAAACTAGTATATAAAGACCTTGAATATTTCTATTCTCTCTAAATTGTTTAAAGTTCGAATATGGATTGTATTTTGAAGGACAAAAGATTTACTTTAAAAACATTTAAATATTGGGACTTTGCCGATGCTTTGCCGATGCGATGATCATTAAAAAAATGAGAAGATTTACGTGATTAAAATCAAATGTAAGTTGTGTGATCTTCATCAAAATAAAATATTATCTAAAAACAATGGTGCTGGAAGGGCAACTGTCCAACGGTTTATAAATAAAACAAGTCATGTTAAAATGTTTTAACATGTTACTATGTTTTAATTAAGTTGATATATAATTAAAAATAAAAATATAGTTCAATAAAAAAATTAAATTTGTTCTTAAAGATTACCTCAAATTTATTATTTTTTTATTTTATTAATTAAATTGCTTACAAACGAAAAAGAAAAAGAGTTGTAATTATACGTAGAATGAAAATACTTTAGAGTTTGTTTAAAAAAATTAAGTTAAAGAACCTAATTTTAAATAAACGAACGTTTATTATAAACAGATACGATTCAAATTATTTAATATACTTAAATTATTTCAGTTGAGTATTTTTTTAAGTTTGCACGATTAAAGTTTGGCGTAGAAGTATTTGTTTTTTTGTTTTAAAAATAATTAACAAAAGAGTTTGCATAATTAAGACTTTTAAGATATTTAATTTTTTTTTTTTAAATTTCCTAAAATATATAAAAAAAAGATTTAATCGTTAAAAACGATATTTCTCTATAGCTCTGTTTCTTTGTGATTTGTTTAAAAAGTAAAATATTTACTTTAAATTCCTGGCGAACGCGTTCCAAACTATGTATCAAAAATATGCTCAAAGCAGACAAAACTTTTTTATATTTTTATAAAACGCAAGTTGAAACGCTAAGCAAGATAAATTTAAAAATTATTCAAAAACCTAAATTTTTCTTTGCTAGTCAAAAAAAATCGTTGTTTAAATAATTAACATGGGTTTGTGTTTATCAATGTTAATATTTTTTGTTTACTCTAGAAATTTTTAAAAATAAAAAAAATCATTATTATTTTTTATTCAATAACGATTAAAAACAATTATTCAAAAACAAATTTCAGAAATAATTATATATATATATACACTGTGCACCAGAGAGACCGCCAGGTTTTTTGTCGTTCACTCAAACCAAGTCCTTATTTTATGAAAGTATTATATATATTGTTTTAGAAAATATATTTTTTGAAATCGAAACGCGTTGCTATCATACCTTTTTTGATATAAATATATTATAAAATGGTTATAAAATTTCTTAATTTTTCGCCGGAACTTGACTTGAAAAAAATGTTTAAAAAAATGTTTTTATCCTTGGAAACCACTGATAGATATTTTTTTAATGGAGGTAACAAAATTTATTTTGTAAAATATATTGTTTAATATAAT